TAGGGTTTTCTTTTTGCGTGCAACCCTCTACGGAATGTGTTCGATGGCTCGTACTGAAAGGCCTGTGAAAAATTGTCAGTGCAGACATATATAGCGACTTGCGGTCCGAACTTGACTCCCGTTAGCTCTGGACAGATTGTCCGCGGTCCGTTATTTTTCGTTCTTCATGCTTTCGTCCCCTTTCTTTCTACTTTGTTAGAACACGTGGCGAGCTATATTCAGTGGACTTCATGTAGACTGCTGAAAAGCTACGAGTTCAGTGGCGTGCCATAAGGCATCTTGACAGTTTTTCGAACCAGTGATACGGTTGCCACAAGCAGCATCGACTCCAATTGCCGTAGAAACACCGGAGTGATTGACTTTTGCTTACGAGTGCTCCAGTACAACAGCCATACTATTTGCACGGTATACACTTTGAGTTCAGCAACGGGATCCATTAGCCGCAAAACCTCTACGAAGGGAGCAGAACTTTACGCCAAAATGTTGCTCCGTCATGGGACCACTGCTGCTTCTCCTCTGCGTCGACGACCTTCCAGATGCTCCTGCAGGTCCATGTCTACTTGTTGCGGACGACTTGAAATACTGGAGTTCCAATGCCAGTGCCCTCCAAATGGATATAGACGCTGCAAAGTGGTGGTCGTGGGACTGGCACCTTCCTCTGAATGACGAAAAGCGCGTCCATATGTCGTTTGGAGAAGACTCAGCGAATGCTTGCTGAGGAAGGACCAGAAAAGATCATGCGGATAGACGCCAAAAAGGATTAGGGTATCTATATCTCCTCAAACTTGACCTTCTCACTGCACCATGCGAAATCGCTCCAAAAGGCATTCGTCATTTTACGGATGATCCGACGCACCCTCTCCCGTATTACTCGCATGGGCTTCCAGTTATTCTACGTGGCCCACCTCAGACCGCTCCTGGAATACGCCAAACAAGTTGTCCACTCAGGGCGCACGAAATACCTCACCCTCATTGAGCGTGTCCAGCGAGCCGCTACGAGAATGGTTGCTGGCCTCAAATCTGTGACTACGAGACGCGTAATTGATCTCTTTCCCCTGGAGTATCGTCGCCTCCGAGGGAACCTAACACTTACTTCTGACCTGTTTGAACAAAGCTTGGCAAAAAAGTTTTCCACCGTCGACCCAGCAAACACGACTGGGACATAGTGAGAAGGTTTTCAAGCTCATAGTGCACATATTCATTAGGCAAATTTTTTTCTGATTTCGGGTAGAAGCTGCGTAGAATGACCTTCCTCCGACGATTGTCCACGCTCCTTCTAGAACTCAGTTCAGGCACTGGCGGCATCCCTTCGCTTACCTTAAAAGTTGGTGGCCCGGACGTCCCCACCCTTATCCTTAATCTCTTCAATATCTCCCTTATCACTGGCACAGTCCCTAGTCAGTGGAAGCGCTGTACGTTTGTCCCACACTATAAGTCAGGTCCACGAACTGCTCTAGCCAGCTATCGTGGTATCCACCATACCTGCTTACTACTTCGTACCCTAGAGCGCCTCATCAAAGTTCCTGTCATGGAATACCTGCTCGCCACCAAA